CTTTTAACCCATGATCAGTATTATTTTCTAAGGGTTAGAACATTGGATTCAATTGAGAAAGCAATTAAACTCAGCTCTTCTTTTTGGGGGGCAAATATTAGGCAATAGGAAACACTATACACCAAGTATTTGCAGTAAACTGAAAAAAAAAAAAAAATAATAAAAAAATCAGAGGTCAGCCCAGATACCTAGTATGTGAAACCCACAGTTTCAATGGAGAGATAAGGCCAGAGTTGCTCGGCTCAAAAAAACCTGTCAGGATTACCGAGCATGCAGAGACAGACATTCCGGCAACTAAGCAAAAAAGTTGTTAGGTGCTGAGTTTTTGACACATTGTTTTGACAGGCCACTCTTTTTTGATTGAGGTACCCACATTTCACCTAAAATTGAGGGTGGAAATATAAACCCCTTCTGAATCCGGGCCTCACTTCTGTCTCTCAAATATGCCCAATAACCAGCGATGCGCACTTCAGCACTGATAATTAAACACAGCAGACCACACGAGTCCAGAGAAGCCCTGGCCATTCACTGCTCCTAAGGATCAGGTACAAACATTCCTGAGTTTTCTTCTGGATTTACCGGTGTAACCAGTAGTGGACTGCAAGATTAACAGCACCGCCAGAAGAGAGACCATGCCCAGCTCTTGCCTGCCCACACATCCCAAGCAGAACTTGCCCTGTGCAGAGGTGGAAGGCCCATGCCCTGAAGGCCCTGCAAGCCAGCCCACAGCTCCCAGGAGAGAAACACATAAGATTTCACAGCACTATCCTGACCAGTGCCCCTTGGGTTATTACCTGGGTTTTGCCTATTTAAAACTGAGACTGTTTGCCTTCCCATTAACCCGATTTGTGGTCTTTCCAAGCTCTGTGTCACCTGGAACCCTGTTCCAGGTTCATTAGAAGATCGGCTTTGCTAAAATCAATTACTGGGCAACACTCTCTGACCTTTGTCAGCAGAAGATCAGATGATACTAAACTTAAGGGCAGGATAAAATGATACTCATGATTACTAAATGTGTTCCTCTATCCAATGCAATACACATTCTCTTAAAAGCTGGAAGAGAACTGCTGGTCTACATACCTTTTCACAGGGGAAGGTGCAATAATTTTGGTAGTTGCTTCCTTTTCCCCATTTGTTGTAATCTGGCTCATGTTCTTAGATCCTAAAAATAAAAAAAAAAACACCAACAAACACAAACAGAACAGTCCTGTAGCATATATACTTGCACACCTATTCAGCATAATCACCTACTGAACACAGTGCAGCATGAGAGATAGAATGATACACAAGACGTCTGGTGCATGCTCTACTTGCTAAGGGTGTATAAGGATCACACTTTTGTGTCTCATCCTTATTTCTACTTATACCACATCACAAGAAAGTTCAACATGGGGGACATTCATTACTTTTCCACATGAGACAGGAGTTTGAAGCTGTTGTTCTCAAAGGGATACTATGCCATTGCCACCAGAAGGGAATTCCCTGCTCAGTCACCAAAGGGAAGAAAGCTGTGGCAAGAATACAGGCTATGAAAAAACTTGGGAATCTCCAGTGTAATAACTATGGTCTGTAAAAGAATCGTTAGATTAGACGGTAAAGAAAGAGGAATATGTTTGTTCTAAGAAATCATTTCAAATTGATGCAGCAACACAGTTCAACACAACACTGATATGTTATATATACACTGATATAACACTGATAAGTTACGACTTCTAATATCATTCTAATCAATGGATTAGAAAACTAGTAATATAAATAGAGAGACAATGAAGAGACATAGACAGCTGACATAGACAGCTAAGGATCAGTTTCAATGAGTCACAAACTTTTGGCCAATATTTGCAAGTTAGCGGCCTACTTTCCAATTTTCTGCCCAATACTCTTTCCATTTCGACCCTGCACTTTTTTTGCACTGTTGGCACTTAAGTCCCCACCTGAGCCATAAAAAGGAACCTGAAGAAGCAGGAGGAACACGCAGTTTCCCCTTTTTTTGAGCCCCCATGTAACATGCTTCAAAGAAGCATGAAAGAGCACTGAAGGCCAAAGCAATCTGGATATTTCATACTGTGTTAACATCAAAGAGGTGTGATAAGATTATGCTCTATGGATGTATACAGCTCCGTACCACAAACAAAAAAAGAACTGTTCTGTTCAGCTTGGTATGTAGTAATATATTAATCATCAAGACAGGTTTGTTCCTACTGGTGCTGTAATTTTAGTTTCCATGCTGTGGTATTAATATTAATCTGTAATTTTTCTTCACTTCACACATTCTCTTTCCAACTAACTGGCAACTTCAGTCATTTCTTACAAAACTGTTACCACCTCCAGAAACAGATGTTAAGTAGAAAAACAAAGCGACATCACTGATGATCTACATCAGCTCTGGACAGGATTCTGAGCATGTTCATTGAAGATAACAAAACAGATTGACTGAAGCCTGCAAGACTGCTAACAAGGAAATACTATGTCCTCTGGGCACAAGCAACAGTATCATAGTGTTTTTAATACAGTGGTACAAACTCCAAGCCTTTTTGTTTGGCTAAAACTAAAATGTAATGTCTTAAATTAAGCTGGGGTGAGATTTTGAATTACAAGCTGTCTCCATAGTCTCAGAGAAGAAACTTCTCCCCGGTCTCCACCAACTTTCCATACCACCCCTATGACATAGAAAGTCTCTGGACTCTCCTCTACTTCAACACAAATACTCGAGATATCCTAAAACATCTTTTCTGGCCATCAATAGCCTCTCCTCCAGGTTAAATCTGTTAGTCTTCTGCAGTTGCCTCATATGCTACGCAGAGGGTCTCAAGTGGAATTAGTCGCCTTTGCTTAAGCAACTCAGCCAAGCCCTTCATGTGTTTGACCTTACCACAGAATCATAGAATGGTTTAGGTTGGAAGGGACCTTAAAGATCATGTAGTTTCAAACCCCCTGCCATGGGTAGGGACACCTGTCACTGGACCAGGTTGCCACTTTTAATGATGTAATTTGCTCCTTTGCCTACTTAGCTTTTCCAACTAATGCCTGGCAGGGGAGGGGGGCAGCCTGGGTTTTGTCTGGTAGAGTATTTGCTCCTTCAAGGCACTTTTTGTTGTTTATGCAAGCATAAGCACTAGGAAGAATTTGGAATACTCTGAAGAAGGAAAAGCAGAATGGGCACAGACTCACAGACAGAAAGGAAAGCAAAGTTCTGGAATTCTGAAACAAAACTCTATTTCATATAATAAGAGACAACCAACTCTCCAGACTCTCTGAAGCCCATACAGTTATTTTCTGTTTTCAACAATGAAGCAATAGCTACACTACCACTATGACCTGTTTGGTAAAAAGACAGAATTACTGAACGAAAAACTTTCTTGAATAAGTGTGAATGAGAAAACAATTAGAAAAGGAATCACTGATCTTCACTAAGGCCATAAAAGACTACTGCAAAAATTCTTCCTCTGACCTCTAAAAAGAGAAGGAAGCCTGCAGTCAAAAATCACAAATAAATAAAGACGACATCACATAAGAAAAGGAAGCAGAAATTTCCCACCTTTAAAGAAGGTACTGATAGTGAAATGAAAATGGGGTAGGTCAAAGTGTCAAACTACAAGGATATCTCAGGGTTTATGACTATATTTTTTTGCATGCAGATATATTTAGGTTGTCCTTCCTAGGCCATCAAATACTTAAGATAAAATAACCCACTATAATAATTTGGCTCACAGAAGTATTGAAATCAGCAAAGAAAGGAAATAATTTCAGTACTTCATCTATTACTGTGTAAGTGAGGTAGCTTCCAATTAAGCACCTCGGAGTACTCATCACTTGATGGAGCAATAAGAACTCATGCTCCAAAACATGTGATAGCTATGAAACTAATGCCAGTAAAAGAGCCAAGGGTCAAGTGCTACAAAAGTAACAGCGACCTCCAGAACTGACCCTTTGCTATGTTTGGCAATAGCCTTCCTTACCATTCTGCTGACACCCAGTCATCACTACATGCCAGGCAATTGGGGGTAATGCGATTCAGAGTCAGTCCACCCAAGTGCAGAAAGTCTATGATGCCTTTGCAACTCTGTCAGTGCCCTACATGAAGGCTGCTGCTGCAGGCCCTACGTTGGACACCTCAGCTTTTGGAGCAGCTGGTACTACTAAATCCTTAAAAAAGAAGCAGCTCTTTCTGCCTGTTGAGTTCCCTGGTTACCACTATATTAATACGTACTTAGTTGAGAGAAAACCAAAGAAAAGACAACATATCAGTGACAATCACACAGAGGCAGAATCCACCCAGAAAGACAAAATAGGTTTCTACTGATACAAGACCTCATATTAACCATGTTTGACTCCACCGCTGCCTGCAACAAGGGTATTTGCTTTGCTTTTTCAAAAATAAAAGCTCTTGCTGTACAATTCTTGTGTACAAACAGCTAGCTTAATTAGAAGCTTTCTGCCCACGCTTGCAGAAACTGTAATAATAGTCTTCAAGTGTGTTTCACCTCGTGTATCTTTTACTAACTACAGGACTGTTCTACCAACATACACCTCTGTATGATACAGTATTCCCAATATAAAAGAACAGACTCCAGAAAATCTGTCCAAACACTAACTCCATTGCAATAACTTATCTATACCACTGTTTCTTGCATGCCAAGGTAACAGGCCTCTCAAAAATACCTTATATAGCCAGAAATCTTGAACATCTCACTTCTAGCAGGTTTTCCTGGTTGTTTATCTTTTGTCAGATAAGTTAGTCAGCATTCACTGCACTGAAATTTTCCAGTAAGGTGAACGCACACACTTTGATTCCCCTTTACAGACATCTTGATGATCATTTGTGCATTCAATTTAAATAGACTTACTTTTTCAAAAACTTAAATGTCCAAAACCTCAGGAGCCTGGCAAACTAATTAGCTTGTCATACCTGTTTCTTATTGACTGAAGCCATTTCACTGACATTATCTGCAAGTAGTGTTTGTATTTAAATCTATTAATGAGAGCAGAAGATAATGTGATCAAAAGGAAAACATGCGGTAAGACCTTATGCTTTGCACTGTGTGTTACTAACAGCCTAAAAAAATGAATGGACTTCCACATGTCTACACTAGCATACCCTACTCTGTGATAATGTCTGTTTTCCAAAGTAGTTTTCAAACCTGTAGCCTCAAGAGTTTGTGCATCTCACTCCACATGCATGAAATGCAAAAGCGGTCACATCCATCCTTTTATAAAACCTGGGATCTAAAATGAACTTTAAAGCGTAAAGCTCAAAGTAAATAAATAACTAAATAGATAAAATTAGCCCAAGATTCATTTTCTAAAATTTAACTTTCAAACGCAACCTCCCAACTTTCTGGGAAAAGATTTATGACTTTGAATGCGCCAGACCAACAGCTCTAGTTACCATGACTGAGGCTGGCGATGCAGGGTAATGATAGGCGTCTGTGGTAATGTGTAAGTTAGGGAAGGGACTGTGACTGCCCGTGAGTGCTTAGGGACTATTCTAATACAGACAGTACTGTAATTTTAATACCCACTCCCAATTCTCCACCTGACTTTTAATTCAGAATAGCAGCACTTACTTAACACTAGTTGACACAACTACCCAGTGTGCAAGGCAGGGACAAATCAAGCCCTTGGCTGCCAAACAACAACAAACCCAAAGCAATGCGTTTTCCACCGCTGAATAAACTCAGACCCACGGCAACAGGTTTGGTCACATCAATGTTTGTCCAGAGAGGACATTCCCAAGGAGCCTTTCGCGTGCAGCATTCAGCCAAAAGAATAATGAACGCTTTCACTCTATGCACTGTTGCGAAAGCTGAACTTTATCAGTCTTGCCCTAAGAGGGTACGACAGAATAATGAGAGATCCTGTTCCATGTTTGAGTTTATGATTTCCAACCAGAACAAAATGCAACTGTAACTCTCTTGGCTGAAATTAAATGGGGAGAATAAACAAATTAAACAAGCTACGCCTATCTCACACCTAAGACTTTACAGAACAAAACAAAAAAACCCTTCTCCAACTAAACACTAACTGGAATGCCAACCTAAACATACCCACCCCCCAAAAAATATTCACTAACATAAAAACATTGATTGCATAGCGACTGAAATTTCCTGGTCCAATTTTTTTCAGTAACCCTAGAACAACTGAGAAATGAAACATATTAAGCGAGTGACAAAAGGGAGATTACTGCATTTTAAACCACTGTAATCTGTATTCTAGGAAAATAATCTGCCGCACTAAAGCGAAACTGTCTACACTGTCTATCCTGTCAGGGAAATCAGTCAATGGCAGTGGCTTTTATACAAGAAAGCTAGTTTCTCACTGTTCACAGTGTCATTTCCTCCAATCCCTCCCTTAGAGCACAAATATTTTTACTGGAAACATAAAAGTAAATATCATTGTCTTGGTACCTACAGCAACACTTAACTGAGACTTCACCAAGTGGCTCCAGTCCTAATGACTCAGCATACCTTAAGGGACCAATGAGACAAAGAAACATTATTAGTCACTCAGATCTGCAAAAGGTAGCTAACCTCCACCTTCAGGTGACAGGAAAAAAAGGTACAAAAACCAAATACTATGTAACTGTTTATAACACCAGAACATGTAGACAAAAAGAAGGAACAAGGGAAAACAGTTTAATGTGATGCCAAAGGTTAGAGGCTTTAGCGCTTCACACACACCTCTACGATGGAGGCAATGCAGACTGCACTTGCTACAGCCATGCATCTGTAGGTACGCGTTCATCTAATTGCTCCCAAACCACTGCTGGGGTTGGTCCCACTACTGCTAACAACAGATTAAAAAAACAAACAAAACCTGAACGGCTAATAGAACTGGATGCAGAAAGGAAGCTTTTCATGCACTTAATTTTGCAACTTAAGGAAGATGCTGAGCTCGTACAAGGTGGAAGTAAGTTACAGCATAAGAACTACTTGTAAATTGTTACTGGGTTTTGTGAGAATAAAAGGAACTCTGATTTTCCTTCCAAAAAGCTAAATTATAAGCCATACCCAGATGGATCCTAATTTAAGTGGCATTTGGCAGAAAACACCTGAAGAAACGCGTTTAAAATGTTGAACAAGGCATATTTGATCTTATTACACCATACTAGAAACGCAAAACCAAGAACAATGGACTAGCCGTCAATGATAACCACTGGCATAATTTCATTATGCAAAAGGAATATTTACTTTAAGAAGAAATGTCATACTATTCTCTCAAACATTTCACTCAGGAAAAGTTTTAAATAACTCATAAAACTGGTTACAACACCAGGCTCATTTCTGAGATAAAAAGTATTCTGTAAAAGTAAAATCTACATTGGGTCAGCATTTTTAAACAAGTAATGCTTAAAATATATCAAACAGACTTGATTTATTGTGTGAAATGGACTTTGCTATATCCAAGAACCAGTTTAGGTGAAAAGGGGTGGATTTATCTGAGTGACATGCAACAGACTGTCACATGAGCGACATTCCTCAGGGGTCAGTACTGGAACCGGCGCTGTTCAACATCTTTGTTGGCGACATGGACCATGGGATTGAGTGCACCCTCAGCAAGTTTGCCATCGACACCAAGCTGTGTGGAGTGGTCAACAGGCTGGAAGGAAGGGATGCCATGCAGAGGGACCTGGACAAGCTTGAGAGGTCGGCCCATGCCAACCTCATTAAGTTGAACAAGGCCAAGTGCAAGGTCCTGCATGTGGGCCGGGGCAATCCCAAGCACAGATACAGGCTGGGTGGAAAATGGATTGAGAGCAGCCCTGAGGAGAAGGACTTGGGAGTGTTGGTGGATGAGAAGCTCAACATGAGCCAGCAATGTGCACCTGCAGCCCAGAAGGCCAACCGCACCAAAGAAGCGTGGCTAGCAGGTTCACGGAGGGGATTCTCCCCCTCTGCTCCGCTCTCGTGAGAGCCCACCTGGAGTACTGTGTCCAGCCGTGGACCCCCCAACATAAGAAGGACATCGATCTGTTGGAGCGAGTCCAAAGAAGGGCCTTGAAGATGATCAGAAGGGTGGAGCACCTCTCCTACGAAGACAGACTGAGAGCATTGGGGCTGTTCAACCTGGAGAAGAGAAGGTTCCAGGGACACCTTTTTGCAGCCTTCCAGTACCTGAAAGTGGCCTACAGGAAAGATGGGGAGGGACTCTTTATCAGTGTAGCAACAGGACAGGGGGTAACAGTTTCAAACTGAAAGAAGGTAGATTTAGATTAGATATTAGGAAGAAATTGTTTACTCTGAGAGTGGTGAGACACTGGAACAGGTTACCCAGGGAAGCTGTGGATGCCCCATCCCTGTAATTGTTCAAGGCCACATGGATGGGCCTTTGAGTAACCTGGTCCAGTGGGAGGTGTCCCTGCCTGTGGCAGGGGGGTTGGAACTAGATGAGCTCTAAGGTCCCTTCCAACCTAAACCACTCTATGATTCTGTGACTGTGTGGTGACTGATGCATAGAGGACAACCAGTCTGCTTTCGGCATCTGAAAGCCCATGTAAATGGAGAGACAGTACTAGAAGTTTATCATTGTGAATACCTAAATGAAAAAATAAAGAGTAAACAATATGCTCATTTATAGGGTAAGACGGAATTTAAATGACATATCTCTCTTCCTTCAGCCCATATTTTAAGTGGGAAGTGAAACAAATTCATTTAATTTAAAAATCATTTGAGGTAACACACCTCAATGACTGCACGCTTGGAACACATGGGTAATCAATTAAGTTGAATTAAAAGCAAAACAACCCAGATGGATGATACGGATTACACAAATACATATCAGTAAGACAGTGAAAAAGCAGCCTTTTTATTTTCAAGTAAAACAAAGTATTTAAATCCACCAAAACAACAAACGTGTCTTCCAGAGAATTCTGCATCATGTTGCATCAGCAGAAGAGGCCACGGGAAGGTTTCAGTTCTCCTCACAATTCCAGTCAAAGAGATTGAAAAAAAACAAGCACAACACGCACACCCTTCAAGCGATATAGACTGACTTTCACTGCCTGCACTAACGCAAACGTTATTTTCAACTAAGGGCTGAGTGTCAGCTGAGAAGTTTACCTCTTCTACACAACTTTCTGCCACACGACTTTCTGCCCAACTGAACTGAGGACTAATGAGGTGGGAAACACTGATCATCTTGAACTACCACCCTAAGAACGGGACAGCCCAGCTGAACAAAAGTCTAAGTCACTGGGTTCAAGACTGAATAGCTTTTTGTCCTCTTAGGCACTCTCTGACAACCGCAGACACAACAAAAAGATATAATAGAAAGAAAGCAATCCTTCTCTTCTTACACTTCACTAAATAAAATTAATTAAAAAAAAAAAAAAAACAACTATTGTAAACTGCTTGTATTTTCCAGGGGCAATACTTTTAAATACACTACTCTTCAAGACCCACTGCAGCTAAAAGGCAGAACACACCAGCCTTGTTTCTGAGTCAAAAGACAGCATTCAGAACAAACATGGGAGGTTTCCAGATGTACATACCTGCTCACTTTCTAAAAATGGGGATTCTCAAAAGTTTATAATGCCATACTAACCCACAATAAAGAGGAATCCTGCTTACATTTTAAAGGCCAGACAAGTTTTTTCTCAAACTGCTAACACACACACATATATATATATATATATACTTAACTCCATGCATGAGTTTGACCGAAATCTGTGTGACTGCTGTCATAGATGAAGCTAAGAACACACACGTAATCATATGTAGAACTGGAGCCTGACATTAGAAAAGCTTTTTGCCTCTATTACTAGATTTTAGGAAACACCCGTTATTCTGGCCATGACTGCTGTGATCCGTGCTTAATCTTTTATGTTTCTTCTAACACCTGTAAAAATTTCTAGCTTCCCCTGACACCTTCAGCATGCAGAATAGATTCCCAGCTCACTTATCTGAAGCACGTTCAGAGGGAATGCCACTAACTTCTATTCCACTTAATATCAAAATAAGGGGATACTACCCTTGAACTGGGAAGAGGATATAGAAGAGAGACACCTCAGGTCAAGCAGCTGGAACAATGGGATACCAACCAAGACACACAGGTATAAAATTCTCTAGCGACAGACAAGACTCCCCGAAAAAAAAAAAACCAAACGTGTTCTCACTGCCTGTTTTCAAACTTTCCTTTCATACTTTATATTAGACCTACAAACATGGGTTTTTATCACGTTTCATCCACACCATCTCTTTTACTTTTTACCCACAAAGCTTGAGTTTTTAGATCCAGTTACAGTTGGGGATGAATACTGACCCAAGGTAAAAGAGAGAATCCATTCTGAGAGATCCTCAAGGACACTGCAGCAGTTCCGAATCACCTCTTGAAAATGAAATGAGCCAAAGACCAAAGGAGACGTCTCTCCCCGGGCCCAGCAGAGAAGGACTTACCGGTCTGTTGTGTTCTTTTGGGGTAAGTCTTGCTGCGACTTCTTTCAATGCACTGGTCAGGCCGCGGGAGCTGCACAGAAGGGTCTCTGGTCATTTGCAAAGATGTCCTGCCACTTGAAAATGAAACAAAATCATGGGAAAACACTTGGAAAAATGATCAAAGAAACAGAGGATCTTTAGATTGAAAAAAATGCATGGGGTTTGGGCAGCATGTTTTGTTGGCGATTCACTTCTCATCACAGCTCTGGTTTTCCTGCAAAGTAGCACTACCCTGGCTTTTTTTTTTTAAACCAGTTATTCATAGAATCATCAACAGATTGTGTCAATCTCTTCTATAATGGGCATTTTCAGGAGGAGCTAAGCAACTAAAACAAAATGCTGGTTTCCCAGGAAGAGGCTAAGACAGCGTGACCTTTTGTAACCTTGAATATTCTCACTTAAGACTGTCTTAAATAATTTCATTACTTCCTCAATTATTTCTGTAAGTTTTTATCTCAGGAAAACACATATTTAATATTGCTCAGTTCTACTCAGTAAGGGGCTACTTCTCTACCATGTGGCATGACAACCTAAAGGCAAGGAAAACCCTGTGCAAAACAAACTGTAATGAAGTACACTCGCTAACACAGGCCTACATGATAACAAATTGAGTAGAAGTCCCGATTCCTGTTTACAGTAAGGCTCTTCTTCATTGCACAATCTAAACAAGTTACTCAGTTTAAATAAATTCTTTTATGCTCATTTTCATGTTTTCTAAGTAGAAGAAACTATTCAAAACAAAAATGTAAAACAGGCCTTAAGTTCCTCCCCAAAACTCCACGTTTGCTTCCGGAAACTTACTACACAAGAGAAGTAATTGTTAGTATCAACTCCCAGTTGCTTAAACACCTGCAGTTTGATGACTTCAAAGTACACAGGTATCATACTAGCAAGTGCCAAGCAACTATACAGGCATTACATATGCACATTTTCTAAGTCATGCAAATAGACTCTACTAGGATGATTGTATTTTCACCAATAGCCCCACAGGGGTAGTCAGCACTGCATGGTTTTTATGTTCTCAAAATTTGTAAAAGAATTAAAGGAAAAAAACCACCACATTATAACACTACATCACAGTAATGCTGTTTTTTTATTCAGTTTAATGGCTTTTTTGCTGCCAAGTTAGCCAGAAAACTCTTCTACTCGACTTTTAAGTTTGGCTACCATGACTAGCAAATTCCAGAAGCAGTTATAACAAAAGAACTGGGGACAAGACCTTCCACTCACACTAACACCCCCACATATTAACCAAAGAATCTGATGTTAAGACAAAGAAATAAATATTATGGTCCCCTTACATACACAGTCAAACAGTAGGATTATGGTTTCTGCTATACAGATACACAACACTGTCACTGCTTTTGGTGCTACAACGGGTACCAAAGGCAAAGAGAGCAGAAAATCAAAGCTGATGGATAAGCAAAGGGAAGATTCTCGAAGCACATGAAAATGCTGTTACTGCTGCTCTGAATTCCAACACAAGAGTTAACATGTCAAACACCAACTGATTATCACTATTTATCATTAACACTGTATAATCAATATAGTGGAACTAGATGACACAACCCACATTTACTAGAACATCCACTCAGGTCAGGGGGAGCCCTCAAGAACCCCTGCTGGAAAACAGGGAACACTTCACACTAGAAGAGAAATATATACTTTCATGTGTTCTAGACAAAACCAACATTATAAATATAGCTGTCAGTAATGGCTATCATCCCAACATGGCAATCCAGATCGCAGATAGCCCTGGAAATTCATTAATAAAGGAAGATGAGCTCAATAACTGCTTCATAGTATTTTTTTCAAATTGATTGGAAAGCCCTGGTAAGTAGAAAACTTTCTCCTCCCCAGCACCAGTGCGTTGCTGCAATCTGCTGAAACGGTCCAACAGAGGAAAATCTCATCCGCAGTACTCCGGCAGGAATCCACTGAACTCCTATTGGTTTCACAGATGGGGTCATATGCATCAGGATCCAACCAGAAGCCCCCAAAAGGCAGTACAATCATTCCCCCATTATCCACAGTAAAAAGTCGGATCATGCCAGATAATGTGATAATCCAAATAACCTAGATTATGATGAAATACGTTGAAGAAGATGGGACAAACACACCAGTGATCCTGGCTCAAGGCAGTCAAGATTCAGTTACATGAGCTCAGGCATCGTCACTGGCATAGTCATCCCTCCATCAGTAACACCCTTCTTACAGGTAAGACCTTACATCCAAGGGTAACAGAGACTTGACTATGAATTCTGACTGAATGAATTGTGTAACAGAGCTACTATCACACACTGGTATTAGTACCTACCACAGATATTAACTCCAATCCAGGAGCTGCTAGAGAAATTGGGGGTTACCGTTTTCTTGGGTTCAGAAAAGTCTTCTAAGAAGCAGTGACAAAGACCTGCCTAAGTAATGATTGTCATCCTTACCCTTTATGATCCATGTATTTCTTGAGTGATGGTGGAAATACAGACAGGAAGGAGAGAGAGACAGATAAGCCAAAAATAAACGTAAACAAACCTGGTATATTTGCAAACCATGGAAAAAAAACTTGGTTGGTTGGTTTTTTTTTGTTTGGTTGGTTTTAAATTTGCCATTTGTTTTGAGTTAGCCATTACAGCAAATAGGCCCTTTTCACCCAGCAGCTTCAAAATAGCTACAGAAGATGAAAAACAACATTTATCCCCACTTGACCAACAGGGAAAATGAAAATGGAAAAAGAAAGGGGTCTGACTTTCAGATGTGATTTTGATTTGCTGCTTTCCACCCTCCCTTTCAGGTTCATTGAATATGCAACTCTAAACCAATTCTAAAAATCAGGCCATAAATTATTTGGCTCAAAATTGTTCAGCCAACATGACAGAACTGTATTTAAAATAGTGGTCGCCCACTGCCAATCAAGTGCCTTAATCACAAGACAAAGATCTTGTCATTTCAACAGACTTAAAAGCATGAATTTTTATTGAAACTCCGTAAAAACCTGAGTTTCTGACATCTTACAATTTTAACTACATCCTATACTACGCTAGTCGTTTGTGGCCCAGCAGCTAGAGGATCTTAAAACCACTATCCCAACCACATCTTCCTCTGTATCACAGTATTAGCTGCCCTTTATGTCACACTGGTTAACTCAGGCTAAAATTGAGACAAAGTGCTCCCTATATAACCTTAGTATGAAGTTTACTGCATCTTTCAAGGCTTGCAGCCTTGAATGCATACCCAATTTTGCCAGGTACTCCCGTTAGAAAAGATACACCCATCTTCCTTCAGATCTGCCCTCACTTTTATTCTTAAATCAACAGCACTGCACCAGCAGTACTGCCACACGATTAGACATAACCACTCCGATGGAGAGCCCTTGTCACAGCTCAGCTGCAGCTGTAAAGAAGTTACAGACTTCCTACGCTTCTTTGCACCAACCGTTTGCTAATTCCCAGAGGAAAGGCAGTAGCCAACATGCCTCCTCGTTTTGGTATTCCCCAGTTGTCAGGAAAAACCCTTTAGGACATGAACATAATTTGAGGACTTGTAAGGAGATTTTGCCTTAAAGCGTTGCCGTGGCTGCTGTCACTTTCACTACGGACTACAGCAGGCCTTAGCCAGCTCTGGGGATCTGGAGAATCAGAAATAACTCACATTTGTCCCAAAACTGCCAGATTCCCAAGGGGAGCCTGTTAAATTGGCCCTCATTCATGCTTTGTCAGCAGAACTGCTCTGAGTCATAGTCTGGGTGGGGTTTTTCTTTCATTTAAAGAAAAGAGGAGAAAAGCAGGAATTAATCGAAGTCTAAACAACGAAATAAATTCACCTGTACCGATGTTTATAGCCTATGGATCCAAACTTGCTGAATTTTCTTGACAGAGAGTTTGATTCATTCTCTGGTACTCTGTAGTTTGAGAAATAAAACAACAAAGTTACATAGGCAGGTCTCAATTACAGTCCCCTTCCCAAGAAAATAGAAAAGAAAAACAAACTTTAAGTTCCACAAAAAATAGTTTTCTGCTAGTTCGCCTTCACTCCTACCTCCAGGAAGACTCTTATGGCATTGAGAGCTCCACAAAGCCACATGTTTACACCTCCTCTTTTGATTACACACCTGTTTATTTCAGTGTCTGCTGTAAACTGCTGGCAACAGCAGCCTTTCGCTTAATCTTTCACAGGAGCAGGGAAAAATACCATGCCACAGTAATGAGACTGCAGGAGGGATTCTGAGCTTACACATATGCAGCACTGCAAAAGACAATCTGAAGCATCCTATCAACCAGTTCCTAGCGTGACACCCTTGCACATCTCTGTTAGTGTTTTTGCAACAGCAAAAGAAAGTGTTTTGAGATGTGCAATATTGGAAACATTTTATACACTTCAATAAGTATGCAAAACATTCTAGAAAATTCAATGGGTCTTTCTATCAAAAAATAAAATTTCTGTGCAACATAGGAAATAGTAATGTCTGAAATCCAAAGGCCTCACTCAAGTCAATGATGCTACAGAAAATTTGATGGTTAAATACGTAAAGTTGTATATGGCAGCTTAAATCCTGCCATATAAATTTGTGGATGCTTCTATTAAAGCCTACTTTATGCAACCTGAGATACTGTTTTGAAAAGAATTCTCAGACAAAAGACACCACCGAACTACCCAATTTTTAAAATATTGTTTCACGCCATTGTAAGAAAAGAAAAGGCATCAGCTTTTAAGAGCGTTCTATAATCAACAAGAAACACGTGTTTCCAGAAAGCAAGTCTGTGTTACACCACTTTGTAGGTATAACAAAGTTCTTAATATAGTCTCCCTCCTTTTGGTAAAAAAAAATGACAATTTCTGCATCACTCACCTGAAAAAAGTATGATGTTCTACGCAGCATTTCCAGAGATGTTTGCATGTGATCTTGTTACGTGCTTCAAAAAAGAAGGAAGTTTCATTGCACTGAAAAAAAACCCAAAACAAATCTATATTGATATATATATGTTATATATATTGCCAGTGAAGTCAATCTTGATTTACTGAACACAAGAACTGACCATTTCATATCAATGCACATAAGACGTAAGTCTGAAGAAAAGCAGGTTCTATAATCCTGTAGAATTTTTCATTTAAAACAGGTTTTCTTTTTGGTTTAGCATTTCTGAAAACAACTATTTAAAAAGTCAATTCCTTAGATATAGAAAAACAGAAGAGAAAGGAGATTATTGAAACACTTCTGTTTCTTCATTCTTATTTGTAGTTGTCAGGTTTTTTCCTAATTAAAAAGCACAGAGTTTTTTTCAAGTAGTATGTTTCTGATGTTTTCTGAAAATGCAGCTTGGATGTCAAGCAAAAATACATTACTAAGGCTCTGTTTAACAATATACAGAAAGGTAAGAATAAGTGAAGAAAAGAAAATATTTGTGATAAACTAAGATGAAGCGACAACACAAAGAGAAAATGCACAAAACATACACATAGAGAAGAACTCAGGTGAAACTGGAAATGAAAAAGAAGGACGGAAAGATTAAAAAAAAAATAGCTAACTTCAGAATAATTCAAAATACAATGTAAAGGTCACAAGTAAAAGCCATAAAATCCACCTTAAAATCTCTTAAGGAAGACAACAAAAAAGAATATTCACAGCTTAAACCTATTCACTGGAAACTGGCAGGCAGTACAGTAGACATGAGGAAAAGGCAGGGAGAGATGAAAGAGAAATCAGACATATACAAACTATAAAATGCTTCCAACAGACAAGAAGAAGCAACAGACACATCATGGTGCTTGCTTCCAACAAGCTTAACATTCAAATATGTTCACATAAAATACAGTTCTGTATACCTGTCCCTCAATAAACATAAGTGCTCAGTTTTGTATCTGTGATTTGCACGAAAAATGAGCAGTCCCACTGACTTCAGTGTGGATCCTCAGTGTGGTATGACACCGTCTGTAATAAAACTGAGTCCTAAAACTATTTCCCCAATACGTGAATTACAAAGTGGGTGTGATTCATACCACTTCCAGCATCTGATTTTAGGAAATGGATGCCCTTGCATTAGTTATACTGCTGCAGTGTCATGCACACGCAAGCAAAGAACTCTGGCAAGTTTCTCTCACTCTTCATTTAACGAGTTATGGTGACCTGCAAGCACCTTGCAAACTGTGAACTAATTCAGTATGTTCTCTAGACAAAATCTCACCTCCAACAGAAACCAATTATATCTCTATTAACGGCTGTCAGGCAGCCTTACAAATTCACAAATTGCCTGTTCAAGCAGTCTTTCTTCCACCATGAAACAAATAACAGTAAAAATGACAGAATTTTGCACCTGTGGTTAGAATAATTGAGATTTCATTTCCTGACCAAAAAAAAACCAACCCCCAAAAATGGAGACATACACATTAGCTTATTTTCTCTCGTGGAATATTTTAGTTAGTTTAATGACTGGCTGGAACAGTCCTATGGAATATCCAAGGAATTAAAATCATCCTCTAGTCTTCTCTCAAAAGCGTATTTTCCTCTGTAGAACATCACAGCAAGAAAGAGGAGTACAGTAAGACATATGGCCACTAACAATGCTGAAAACTAAGATTTAACTGAGATTGCTATGCATAGCATAAAATTATTTTATAATAGATTAGTCCCATAAATATATTCCTACAGTTCCTTAAAATACAGTTTGAGGCTTGATAGGGATCTTTGTCTCTCTGCAGGATTCACAAGGGGTTTAACTTGGAGCAAAAATACGTTTAATTTATAAAAACTAAAACCAGAAACTTAAGAACTGAAGCTATTCTAAAACAGAAAAAAAATATATTAAAGTAACAAGGGAAGGGGGGGGGTGCTTCCTGGAGAATCTTGAAGATTGTCAAGGAGAAACAACTATTTATACTAGATTTTTCAAGAGTAACCATATTGTTCCTGCTCCTCTGGCAACCAGAAACAAGAGTCTACCCGCTGAAAGACCATACTGCATTTTCACATTTTTAAAGTTTTAAAGAAGACATGTCAAGGAGTACTTTTCATTTACTTATTTACTTATTTTACCCATAACAGAAACATAGCTTCAGATTTTATGATTTAATTTACATTGCAATTTCTAGATCAGACTGTCATCCGATGTTACTTCATATAAACCCACACAACTACAGTCACCAGTGCACTTTTAAGGAATAATATCAGATCAGGTCTGTGGTATTGCAAACTTTATGCATATGATGAGTCAATTTAACTTCTCTTAGGAAAGAACTCAATGACTCACTTTTAATATACAGGATCTTGCTCCTTCTTTGTCCACTCCTAAAGTTCATTTTTAGGCAAAGAATCCAATGCTGCACTTCAATTTATTTAATTACACAAGCCTGGAGGAGACAGTTTGTGGGTTGGGGGAAGGGAGGGGCAGAGAGGAGCCAGAGCTGTTTTGTTGGGGTTTTTTAAAGAGACTTTTTAAAATAAGGTATTTCTACCATATCTCATTATTACCCCAGTTCAAATTCAGGGATTCAGGGAAACTGGAATTCGAGGATTTCAGGGAAAGATTCCTATTAGGGAAAAGGTTCTAATTGTATATTTTTTTCTTTTTTTTTAAGTTGAAGGGTCAGAATTTTCCCATATACAGAACAAATGGCACATAACACATGAAAACCGATAAGTCACTAAAAAAGGGACGGTATAGCTGCATTGCCATATGATTGAAAGGTCTGACCAGCAAACATTACTGATTCCATCATTTAAAGGCATTATTTTCTAAGGTGAAAGAAAGCTCATCTCAGCTCAGAATAAAATTTTTATAATTAACTACATGCTGAAACATCTATACACAGCAATCAAAGGCACTCAGGAAAAAACAACATAGCCCTATAGATCCATTTTATCAACAGCTATGGAATTCAGATCTGGAAAATCAAACAACTGCCTAAAATTCAGGGGACCGACTAAAAAGCTTTCTGATAACACACTGAGGTTTATTCATTTGAATTTGAAGGAAAAGCACATGTCTGAAAACTATTACCTCAGAATGGATGCTTGTAATAAGTTAAATAGCACAGTTAAATTTGCTAAAGAGAGAGAAAGAAAGCCTAAAACATTCATCTCTAAGTTCTTTCACCAACACAGAGGAGACAATTCATAATTATTTTACCATTTTTCACCTTTTCTGCAAAGGATTCAGTAACCTACTGCAACTAAGTCCAATATGACACTGCATACAGCATATCTAGGTTTAGGACTTCCTCCATTTACTTTTTAAGACTTTTTAAGGCTTGCAAGAATACTGTGATTACCCACACAATTTACAAATGCATGTATAAAAATTAGGCAGTACTGAAGGCAGTAATATCTTCCATGTTTAATCTTTCTCCCCTAATGGAATAAATTGATGTATATAGGTAAAGCAAAGATGACCTTACCTGTTAACACCATGAACTTGTGTTTCCAATAAAAGGCAACATTTTTAACACCTTGACAACTGTAATTTCTTACAGGTAGTAAGAGTTAGCTCTGTTTTTTTCTTACTATTCTCATATATCTGAACCAAAAGAAACAAAGATCTAGTGTACTTTTACTAATGATTTGTAGGAAACGACAATTCCAAACTCATTCAGTGTTGTTTGGTGCCTCACATTGTACTCCCTGCTACTTTACTCTGTTGCTTTCAGAGTGCCCAGTGTACTAAAGGTGAGGCACCATAAACCATGATGGCTCACTGCTTCCCGAGCTGTCCTGGTCCTCTGCACGCTCTGAACATCTCCTTTGAACTAGCTTTGGCGCTCATCTGTTCTTTCAGGAAGCCAGTTGTGCTCAGCAAACAGGCAGAAAACCATTTGTCTTTGTACGGTGATTTTTGATCACATTCGTGACTTGCACCAGCAAGGGAAGGGGCAGGACCACATGGCCAGAGGCTGAAAAAGAACAGGCATACCCCTTGCAGCAGTACCTAGTCCTTGAGCTCCTTGACTACCTTCTCCTAACCCTGAAAAGGGCAAGACACTAAAAAGCTGTGAGGACAAACATAAAATATTCCTCTCCTTTTAAATGCTTTAAAATCTTGTCCTGCAGTCAGTCTCCAAAACACGCTAAAGCTCATATTGCTGTAGCCTCACCACCATTTTAACCCATGGGAGGAGAGATGGACAAGCACAGGGGATGCAGACAGCTTGACTATATTACATGGTTATAAACAGACAGGTACTAAACCATGTAGCCACAGCCCTTATCTGTTTTATGCTGCTTCTCAAATCAACCAGAAGACTGATCTGGCAGTGCCTTGAAGATCTCCACTAGACGGTTGGTAATTGGTATGCCGCTCCACCATACATGCCTACCCCATCCCACCACCGGCCCCGAACTTAACTGAAAGACTGAAAGGGTGTTACTATTGCCTTCCAAGGAGACAAGTCAGAGGGGTCGCTGCTCTACCTAACCACAAAATGCCTCTGGAACTGCTAGAGCTGACGTACTAGCTCAGGAGTGCCTACACTGCCCTTTACCGACAGCTCCTGGCTTGCGCTGCCACACCAGCGTCGTAACACAGCTTCCACGCTCAGAGCTGCTGTCTGCCCAGCTAGCTCCGTGCCCAGACAGGGCAACCTCGAGTCTTTCTGGAAGAGAAGACACACAGCTAAAATGACAGTTCCTCTCTCTGGGGGCCAGAAGATGCCTTGTTTGTGAAGTTTATGGATTAATCCAAAGATAAGAAGGCCACTGTCAGTAGACTTACACCCGTTCCGCGGAACACTGCACCCATCCACAGATCAAAAACCTTTTGAAAACCCATGACTCAGACCCGGCTTTAGCTGCTATAATTTATGACAAGACACACATTGGTTCCCACCAATCCAGGCTCAGAAAGCAAAGAAGAAATAACCCAAACCCAAAACCACAGTAGGAAACCTGCCAGCACACCCACCAGTACTCCTGGTCACACTGAATATTAATACAGCGTTAGGAGGGATCTTGC